ACTCACCTTCGCCATTACTCTTCATACGGGAAGCAGTATTGACAGTGTCGCCGAACAAACAGTAGCGTGGCATTTTCAGACCAACCACACCAGCAGCACACGAACCTGAGATAAAGGAAAACACTAATTACTTTCCACCTTTGCTTATTAACATTTTCACAAGAGAGAGAGAGAGAGAAAGAATAAGCAAGATAACTCAATTCACAGATATTTTATCTAATAAAAAACACCAATCTTGACTATCGTATCCAGGTACTATTAAGACCTGCTGAACAGACTTACTGATCGATTGTTAGTCTCCTGTCTTCTGGGATTACTAAACGGGACTTACTGAGTTCTTAACTCAATCAGTAGTTACTCACCAGACCTCCGTAATTACCAAATGACTCCCACTGGCAACCACTCGGTTTTAAACAATTAATGTTATGAACCTTACGTTATAACAATCGAGATTTACTGGACCATTAACCTGAAGAATTCACGAGTTCAAAAGTTTGTCTAGATTTTAATTTTTTTTCTGAGAGTTAATGGATAATCTATTCAGAGGGTGATCAGGGCCCAAGCCACGAAATTTCCAACTAAGACTTACTGGCTCTTGCTAATTTAGCAGATTGTCAGGTCCCAGACTTAATGATGTATGAGCTGAGACTAAATCACTCACCTGTGTGCATTCCAATTCTAATTTGCATTTGTCTGCCAGGACGATGGCGGATTTTGAATTTACAAATAGCATCTCTGATGGTCAGAGACATTCTTGCAATCTCCCGGGTGTGTTTGTTCCCGTTGGGGACTGGTACCCCTGACACTACCATATAGGCATCACCGATGGTTTCTACCTAGAAATAGCATAGTGCTGTATAAATGTACGTTTTTATTTATTTGTCGTAAGCTTACAAACATGACTTGATTCAGTTAATTAAAAGAAAGTAAGACGTCTCGAATAATTTGGTCGATCTCTTTTTTTTCTTATTCTCACTGGCTTTGGGCCTGGTATAACCTGCTATAACCTGGTGGTTAGGGCACTCGACTAGCAATCTGTGTCGCAGGTTCGAATCCGGTCACCGAACATGCTCGACTTTTCGCCAATATGGGTGTTATAATTTGACGGTCAACCCCACTTGGTAAAAGAGTAGCCCAAGAGTTGGCGGTGGGTGGTGATGACTAGCTGCCTTTCCTCTAGTCTTACACTACTAAATTAGGGACGGCTAGCGCAGATAGCCCTCGTGTAGCTTTGCGCGAAATTCAAAACAAACAAACAAACATATTTTACTTTTGTCGCTAGGGTATTTTGCTCGCTACAATATCCGTATAAGTGGAATGTCGCTATCAGTAAAACGTACCTTTCAGGCATTGAGAACAGGAGAAAATAATCTTTACATGATGAACGAAACAGATGGGTGATGTTGACTAATTACCTTCTCCCTAGTCCAGCGGTTCCCAACCTTTTCACCACCAAGGGCCCCATGTTTTTTGAAAGATTCTATTTACCCAACAAACTGTTTTTCTTACTAATAATTAACTTGTTCTTCCATTTTTCTATATCAAATAAAAGACATATATATATAAGTGAGTGTGCAATTAAAAGAACAGTAGAATTAAAAAACGTACTTGTTTAATGAGATGGTATTATCTTCGCTGACCCCCACGGGTCCGGGGACCACAGGTTGGAATCACTGCTCTCGTCTATCACTTCAAAATTAAGGACAACTAGCGCAAGTAGTCCTCGAGTAGCTTTGCGCGAAATTCAACAAACAAACATACTCACTGGTCTCGTGTTATTGTTTTATCTTAGCATGAAAATCAGATATTCTACGAGAGCTTTCATTACACTCCAAGGTTCATTGTAAGTTAGTTCCTCGAAGGGACATTCGCTGCACTTTGCAGAGGTTTTTTTGATTAGAAAATTGAATTATGTGTTTCTAACATTGCAGCTTTCATTTTTCACATGTTGCTAAAGACGATATTTACTTGTCTGTTTACGAAATTTGCACGAAGCTACACAAAGTCTAGTTGTGTAGCCATCTATAATTTTGAGCTGAATACCCACCGATAACTACTGGGCTACTCTAACAGAACAGTGGGGGTTGACAGTCACTCTTATAGCATATCCGCACCCCGATGATGCAGAGCGCGTTTTTGAGCAACGGGACACAAACTCTCGGATTCACAGTCCAGCACGCTGACTACTAGGCCACGACCGGTCCTAAACAAGAAAAAAAGATTCACAATTTATATTATTAACTGGAGTCCGAAAAAAAAACAGAGCTGAAATCACTTTCGCTGCCAAGTATCGCTCATGTTTTTTTCTGAAAACATTCTAGAAAATTCTCAATTATCAGTACATCGAGTCATTTGATAATCAAATCTAAAAATATGCAAATGTCGCAAAATGCATAATTATATCTCTTATGTCTTTCTGAAAAATGATTGAAACAAGAGTTTTCAAAGTAATGATGAAATGTTGTGAAACGTTTGTTTGTTTGTTTTTGGAATTTCGCCCAGTTGTTTCTGTTCTTATATATATTATTCCCTTAACACCTACTAACGAGTTTTTCACCAAACATATCTACGGACTTTTTGTTTGTTTGTTGTATAGCAAAGTCACATTGCCTATCTGCTGTGTCCATGGCATGGATTCGAATCCCGGATTTTAGTGTTTTAAGTCAGATAATTTACCATTGTTCCACCAGGGGACATCTACGGATTCAATAATCGTTTTAGACCTTTTTTTTTTCTTTCACAGTAGCACAATATTCAGATTCTAGTATCAACGACGCATACTAGTAATTAAATATACTTCACTCAACAGATACCAAAGTTTCAGAATAAGCTCTTAATATGTAGCCTCACAGTGGCAAGTCTGGGAACTTATAACGCTAATAACCGGATTTCGATATCCGTGGTGGACACAGTACAGATAGCCCAACTGTGTGGGTTTGTGCTTAATAAAAAATAAACGAAAAAATTCTTGATATGTGAATTTAGGCTTAACTTCAATGTCGTAAATCCATTTTCAATTCACCTGCTTGATCCTGCTATAACAACTAGAATACAATGTGAAATATTAACGCGATAAAACCATTTCTCATTAATGTTTATTTCACTTTAGATTATTTTGACTTAAATTCAGAAGTTACGAATAATAACAGTATGGTTATTAATTATTTCTGCATATCCTAGCTTAAATCGTTATTAATAGCGGTTGTATCTCGTAGTATCGTTTCTATAATAGAGATAATTAATATTGG